AGACCCTGCCCAGACCCTGAGAGAAGAGTGGTCTTCCTTAGAGGCCCTGCCCACGCTGGCCTGTGCTCTGCATACTTGACACCCTTGATACCAGGGTATGGCCCTGGGTCCCAGCGACACACAGCAGAGTCTGCATTTTAACAAGACCCCCCAGGGGCTCCTTATGCTCAGTTAAGCTTGAGAAGTGCTTTATCCCAGCACCTCAGGGATTCCCCCAGGAGTGATGGAGAGGTGAGGTAGCCTGACAGGGAAACACACTGGCTTCTGGATGAGCCCATTTTCAAGCTTTGTTTTTAAGAGCCTCTTGCCTCAAACAGTTAGTAGCCAGCAGACCGTGCTTTCTCGGTGACTGTTAATGCAGTGTGATTCTGGTTAATCTGGGGGCCTAGCCTGAGAGCACTTGGCTCACATAACAGGGGGAAGGTGTTTCACTTTGAGGCAGCTTGTGCTTGGGAATGCCGAGCATTTCCCTTTAAACAAACAGCGGGGTACAGGAGGGTGCTGGGCACTAGTTCCCCCTGAGTTAAGGGGGTGTTAGGGGGATGGAGTTTTCAGTTTTGATCTCTGTTGATGAAGAATTTAGCCACTTCATTTAGAGGAGTTTTTCATTTGAGTGGCATAGAACTCAGTGTTGTTGTGGTGTAACAGAAGGCCGGTGAGTGTCAGGTCAGTGATTACAATGGTTCCTAACCGGTGTGGCCCCCAGTGGTCCCGTCCTGCGGTCAGCGTGGTCAGCTGACCACGTCGCGGACCCTGACTGCTGCTTGCTCTAGAGCCCCTGGGGAAGTGGAAACCGTAGCCCTTCTCGCTCTGGAGGGTGCACCTCCTGTCTCCTCTCATTCCTCAGGGTTCCTGTCTGAACCTGTTCTGGTTGCTTTCTTTTACGGTAGGCTCTTCCCTGTCTGATGACCCTAGTTTGTAAGTACAAGGTGCTATAAAAAGCTGATTGGAAGGGGTGTGTGCACGTGCGGCAGCGTGATTGGTCAGGAATCCGCCATGTCTCTGGGGACTTGCCCCCAGCTCTGATGACTTATAGGTCTTTTCCTCCCGGGGAGGAATCCTCTCCTCTCTTCCTGCCTGGCATGGAGTTTGCTGTCCCATTGTCACAGCTGGGGGTGGAGGGTGTGCAGGGATGCATCTGGGGTCCAGCAGTCTGCAAGTAGAATTTTTCTTACTCCCAGTTTTTCAGTGTTGCAGCCAAGGGTTTAGCTCTTGAATTTCCATGGTCTTGGAATTTAGCCTTTCCAGGGGAAAACTCTGCTTCCAGGATGAAGGAGGGAATGCTTCCTGGCTCGGGAAGGGGTTCTGGAGGTCTTAGTCTCCCTTCAGTAGGTGTTCAGCCCATGGTCCTGTGTTCAGCCCTGCCACGCCCCCGCCCTCCGAGGTGGCTGATGTCTGCAGGGCCGAGCCTCCCTCCCCCACTCCTTCTTCCCACCCTTCTCTCCCTACTCTTTCCTGCTCTCTCAGTCCAGCTCTTTGGCAGTTTGTTTCCACTTTCAGAAGTTTGGTTTCTTGCCTGTGGTTGTCTTCTCGCCCCACAGGTCTCTCTCAAATCCCTTTATTGCGGCTTTAATGGTGTTTTGAAAGGGAGTGAGGGCAAACGAGCGTTCATCTGCTGTATCTCATGGAATGTGCCCAAAGATTCTCTAATGAGTGATTGGAGGGAGAAAGAATAAAATCTCTGTAGTTATAAATTTATCCAGTTTTACAGCATTTGAGATTCAGCTGTTTGTGAAAAGCAATTTAAATAAAAGGATCATGTTGGAAGGCAGTGGTTTATATTCACTTCAGAATATTTCAGCTCCTAGTAAGAGGGGAGATCAGAGACCAATAAGTATGAATAAAAGATTGGCTGAATGTATAGCCAAGGCCCGTGGACGATTGAGTGATGGAAGTCCCACTGCCCTGGCCTTTCCTAGGATTGCCGTTTAATCTAGATTTCCTAGTTTTATAAGTGCTGGGTGGTGCTTCAGTGCACGGGCTTCAAACCTGCACAGACCACAAAACTGAATTCCTGCTTTACCATGTGTGCGCCATAAGCAAATTGTTGAACTGATTTGGGCCTCAGTTTCCTGACCTGAAAATGGGGGCAGGGTGAGAAATAGTACTTTGCTCCCAAAGTTTATTAAGATGGAATGAATTAATGTATGTAAGTGCTTAGCCTCGTGTGACCACTGAATATGGTTTTATTTACTTTGCTTTATTCTGGGTCTCCTTTGGTTTCTAGCCTCGCTGTTCACTGCGCCAGGCACTGTGCTGAGCCTGGGAACCAGAGCAGCCTGGTCTCTGCTCTCACGGGCTTTCCTCTTAGAGCTGAAGCCTCCCTCATTCATCTTTTGGCTCTGGGATGTCTGAGATCTGAGTTGGAGAGGGAGGGGGGCCACATTTGAACCGAGGTCTGCCCGACTGCAGGAGCTCTGCTCTTGGCACCATCACCCCCAGTGCTGAGGGTTCCTGCCGTGAGTGGCCGGCCTCTGCGCAGAGCACAGTTACAGGCGGTGGTGGGGCCAGTGCTCTGCTGACGCTGGGGTTCAGGGTTTCAGCCGTTGCTAGCAACCATTGTACATCCATGTGAAAAAAGCCCACATTTTAAGAGACTGTTTAATATTGGAGGACATACGGGGTAGGTAGATTGGGAGCCTGGAAGTAGATCTCTTTAGATTTGCCGTACTGTACCCTGAAAGGTTAAGGTAGGTGGGAACTTGCAGTTACTTCTTGAGTAGTGTGTGGTGGGGGCAGTTTGAATCACTGGACAACAGGAGCAGAAGGCTTTAGCTCCTGTGAGTTCTTTAAATGGAGGAGAACAGTTGACGGGGAAAAGGTACCCTTGATGAATCTCTTACCACAGGGACTAGGTTGAGAACTAGGAGTGTAGAAAGGTTCTCAGATTCATCCTGCGTCCATTTCTGTCTGCCCTGTCGGGGCCCTCGTCCTGCTTGCTGCCTCCTTCCCAGCAGGTAATCTTTATTTCCCCTCTCTCCCGAGTCTTTTGCTCTGTACGTGTTTACATACGCATAAGTCTGTGTTTTGGGTAAAATCTGAAGCGTATTTTGTATACTGTTGTATAGTTAATATTTTCCACATACATTTTCCCTCTCTCCCCAATAACTATTCCAGTTTAACCTTTTAAAAAATTCCCTGACAGGGTTAAATAAATTATGGAAGACAGCCATATGGTTCAATGCTACGTTAGCCATTTTAAAACCGTGATTTCTAAAGTTTGAAATAATACCCCTATTTGTCAAGCACTAGAAGCTTCTTTGATCATGTAGCCTCTTTTAAAATGTGGCACATCATAACTGGCTGGGAGTTGGATCATTTTTATAGTAGTGTACATGCTCTTGCAGTAAACCTTTAGATGGCAGCATCTCTCACCATAAAGCATATTCAGAGTGGAATTTCTCAGATACATAAGATGTTTGACACAGAGGAATACTCAGAATTGCCTGACTCCCCTCTCCCGGGTGCGGTGAGGGTGACGGAGCTGAGGCCCCAGAGGCGCGGAGCTGTGGCCCAGGGAGCCGGAGGGGGACCTGTGGACCCCTGGCTAGCCCTCTTCCACCAGCCTTTCTCTTATGGTTGGGAAATGTTTCCTGTCTCTGTGGCCTTATGAACAGCACACTTTAACTGTAAGGCAACCAAGGAAAATGAGAGTTGAGTGGATGATTCTGTACCAAAATGTCATGGGATGTTTGAAAGGAGCAGACAGAATAGACAGTCTTTTTTTTTTTTAAAGCCGCTTTATTTAGATACAAATCACACACCCATCATACAGTGCACTCACTTGACGTGTACACTACAGCAGTTTTTAGTATATTCACAGGGTTTTGCAACCATCACCACAGCCTAACTTTAGACCATTGTTATCACTGCAGACCCCATAGCCATCACTCCACAAGCCTACACATCCCCAGTCCCTGGCAACTATTCATATGTTATTTCTATAAATTTGCCTGTTCTGGACATTCTATATGAGTGGAATCGTATAATACATGGTCTATGGGGACTGGCTTCTTTCACTTAGCAAAATGCTTTCAGGCTTTGTCCATGTTACGGCATGAATAGTTCTTTATTCATTTTTATTGTCCAGTGATATTCCATTGTATGAATGTACCATATTTTGTTATCAGTTGATGGACAGTTGGCTATTATGAATAATGCTACTAAGAGCATTCATGTACAAATTTTTGCCTGAACATACATTGACATAGAAGTGGGTTTGTTGGGCCATATGCTAACACTATGTGTTTAACCATCTGAGGAACCGCTGAGCTGTTCTCCAAAGTGGCTGCACCTGTGCGTTGCCACCAGCTCTGTGTGAGGGGTCCATTCAGTCTGTTTTAGAATCCCAGATTTTCTGATGATGAGCTGGGGTTGAGAGGGAGGTGAGAGAGAGAGGGCTGTCAGCTCTCTTGTGTCCGCAGCTCACATCCTGGACTGGCCTCTCTGAAGGCAGCTATATCAGCTGCCAAGAAGGCAGCCGTCTCTCTGCCCCGCGCCATCCCCCTGCATCACCAGCCTGATAAAACGTCTGCGTTCTATGGCCGCTCCGAGCGAGGTTGATGTTACCGTCTGGCTGCTGGTAACTCTTGCCTCCTGGCTTTGGACATACCAGACAACCCAATTGTCTCTTCCCAGTTAGAGAAAAATTCCAAATAAAACACCCTTCACCACAAGCTGTCTGGGTCTGGACATGTCAAAATCACTTACGTGACATACACCAAAGACAGCTGTAGAGACGGCACGGGCAGAATAGCAGCTTTTGTTTTTGTCGGAGTTTACATTCTCGAAGCTGAGCTTGGACCCCTTTCTCCTTTGGCAGCCCAGACTGGATGTTCCCGTGTCTGGACTAAAATGACCATGTGTGTGTTCAAGGGAGGGGAAGGGGCCGGCTCTTCCTTTAGGCATCTCTGGGTCCTGGTGAGGACACACACTGTAAATTCTGAAGCTTTGTTTGCAGCTGGAAAAAATTAGCCACACTTAGATCTTTCCCACCGCAGGTCCTGTCAGGAAGCCCAAGTATGTGGAAAGCCCCAGAGTGCCTGGAGACGCAGTCATAATCCCGTTCCGAGACGTGCCCAAGCCAGCAGAGCCCAGTGAGAATGGTAAGAGTATGTTTTCAACAATTACCCCCGCTAAAGATTGTACATCATGACACTCCACTGCTGAGTGACCCTTGAGTGCCTCTTGCGGGAATGCTTTGCTAAACTGAATGTATCTGGGAGGTGGTTTTCCTCGGGCAGTTACAGAGATCTGTTTAACAAATGTAAATTTTTGGGCTTATGTACACAGAGTAGGAATAGATGAGTGGGTGCATATGCATTGTTTAAGGTTGAGATTTATTTCCTGTCCATTTTGACCTCCCTGGTTTGGGGGGATATGAAAAGCCAGCCAGTGGACTTCTTATAGGACATTCTGTTTTGTTTTTTAGTACTCTGTCGTTTTAGAATATTCAACAACAGGCTTTGGCTGAAAAGCTGAAACTTTAGCTGAAACTTTAACTAGCTTTCTTAAAAGCCTATGGTAGCTTTGGAGAGCTGTTTATTTTTTTAACATCAGAAGTTTTTCTTCAGAAAATGTTGAAGTAGGGGCTACAAAAATCCAAATTGATTGAAACCTTTTTATAAAGACATTTTATATTTTGCTTTTCCCCCCATATCTGGAAATATGTGTAACAGACATTACAAATTATAACATTTCATAGATATATCAATAGTTTTTATTTTTTTCTTTTTCAGTCTTATTAGGTAGAATTATTACAGTTTGACTGCACATATACATTATATTGCATATAAATACATATATACAATATAGTGCACTTTTTTTAGTTTACATATATGTACTGATCGTTGAATAGTTCTTAATTTTTTTTAATCAATTCAAGGTTATACCTGTTTGTTTCCCTTCTGGGATGGCGGTGTCCCCAACTCGCAACTCTCAGGTCTTTATGTGTTTCGAATATACATCCTATTTTCCTGCAGAAACATGCGGTTAAGAATCCTGGCATATGTAGAGAAGCCTATGGACACAAGTGTGTGTAGTAAGGCTGAAAGAGACAACTCATCCACATTTCCACCTTGGAATATCTGGCACCCACCTCTCCCTAATTGTGGGTGGATAGGGGTATAGCTTCTACCACTGTGTGTGCATTTCATGTTTCTGCTGGTGCATAGTGGGGCATGGGTATGAAGTAGGTAGGACATGATGGGAATGTGGAGTGGGGTGATGGTGGTGAAAATAAAGCTAAAAATGAGCTGAGTGGAGGGACTGTCAGAAGATGAAAATCAAGAAGAGGTGTTTGGCATGGGTGGGGGCAAGGGGACCAGGAGCTGGGCCTCCTGGACAGGGGAGAGGTGCCGTTGCCTGCTTCTTGGCATGAGAATCTCCACCCCTTTCCCTCCTGTGCAGGCACCCAGTCGTTGGGTTTAGGTCAGAGGTTCACAGTAGGGTTTGTGCTGAGGAGGGGCAGGGCGCCAGGTGTGTGGTGGTACAGAGGGGAGGGTCCACTGTGCTGTCTGGTTAGGACAGCCTACGTACATGATGGTCCCCCTCGTTGTGAATTCATGGGTGTAGGGTGTCTGGGTGTCGCTCTGTTCTCTCATTTCTATTCTGGGTGTCAAAAAGAAAAGGAAAACCTGTTGCTCTGAAGTGAATATCGAAAATAGAGTTTACTGAACTGTCTGCTCATTTACTGAGCTGTCTGCTCATCAGAATAAGCCTGCCACCCTTAACCCTCATACCGACCCACCAAAGCCTGTGAAGTCTTGGGCTGTTGTGTACCTGGCATCTGGCTGGTGTAGACTCTACTACGTGACCCCTTCCTGTGTGACAGGGAGTACTGCTGAGGTCCTGTCTGGAGTGTAGAGCGCTCCATGGGTAAGAATGGAGAGAAATTAAAGATTTTTACTGGGCAAAGAAAAGAGGTTGTAAATAGTTCCCACTGTCAACACTTCTCCCCTTGCCCAAGGCGGATTGGCCGTGTTTCCTGAGGGGAGGAGGATTTCTTAGCTTGGCTGCCAGCTGAGCTAAATTCAAGTACAGGGATTGATGTCACTGGCATGGCCTGCAGTTTGCAGGTGCACCTTCTCCTGAGACCCTCGCTCCCAGATTCAGCACCATCAGTCTCCAGGGACTGAAGTTATGACATATCTGGGCTGCAGATACAGACCAGGGGTTTCCAGAAGTTTCACCAGAATTAAAAAACAGGGTACATTTCCCCATTTTTAGGTATCTGGGAAAGGGCCTAGTTCATGTGTGTGGACACGTGATCTTCCATAGAGAGCTGTGATGCTGGTGGAAACCCGAGCAAAGTTACCTGTTGGTTGATGAGGAGCTGGTTGCCTAACAAAATTCAACTTGGCAATTAGTAAAGGATAGTGTGTTTAGTAATCTCCAGGGAATCCTTTAAATTTCAATGGAGTTAATTAAGTTTGCCATATTAAAATATAAATTTTACGTCTAGGTCATTGAATCTAAAGGAGAGGCTGGAGCAAACTGAAACTAAGTCTGAGTATTAACCCAAGTATATACAGACGCATGATGCACTAAATCCTAACTTCCAGGGCTTTATCACACAGTGTTTGCACTTAGGTTTTAATTTAAATTTTGGGCTTATACTTTCCATATTTCCTTTGGGCATTTTTTTAAAAAGTCTAAGACACTTTTCTGAATACTGTCAATAATAGCATTTCAGTATTCGCCAGACTAGGAAACTATTGAAAACAGCCCCTCATGAAATGCTTTTGAAATTTCCCATAGACTCGTGAAGTATCAAATTATTCCTAGATGTTT